TGGAGGTTGCAGCGAGCCAAGATCACAGCACTGCACTGCAGCCTAGGTGACAGAGCAAGAACCCTTCTCAAAGAATAAATTCTTACACTCAGTACCCTTAGGTGTACCTCATGTGACTAATTCCTGAGTCTTTAATACAGCTGCCTTTTATTTTTCTGGGAAGTGAAATTTCTTAATAACTGTAAGAAAAGAAAAGGAATTAAATATTTTGGGTAAATTAGCTACCTGTCTGGAAATCTTGCTTTAAGTAGAACTAGCACTCAGAATCATTGTCTATATCAAGTATACTTCAGGTCAAACAGAAACAAAAGTGTTCAAAATGGGGAGAAACCGGGACATCAACATGAAAGAGTCCTCAGGTGTGTGCTTGAGTGACGTGTATTTGTGTTGTCTCATAGGATGATTTCAGGAGCAGTTGAAATAATACCACATACTCTCTTTCTTTTCAAGCACAGGCAGTGTGGGGCAGTAGTTTGAGAAAAAACTAAAGAGGATAATTAAATAATCAACTGCAAAGATATTAGGAATGTTTGAATGGTGTAGGTCAAGAAGTTACCTTGGCTAAAGAGATTTGGGTTTTACTATTTACCACTTGCTAAGTGCTATTAAAGTTAATATATATATATATTTGTCTTTTTCTGAGGTTAAGTATTTACTTGGGGATTCTGGTGCATTTTGATGTGGAGATGTTTTAAAAGTAACTTGAAAAAAAGATGAACACATTACTGTAAAATGAAGTACACGGTTACCAAGGATGGTTGGCTTTCAGCTTTTACCTTGACTCATTTTGCTATTGAATTGAACATAAACTTCTTTTGTCAACAGATGAAATGAAACAAAATGACATCTATATTTTACATATTTCTTCCCAGGAGAAAAGAAGCACTTTACTGGTAACTGGTGCAGTAAAAAAAGAGGGTTGTGCCTTATGTTTCATTTACCAAAGTTCTTGAAAATAAAGTTTGTTTAAGAGCCTTTGTAAATATTCCTCTTCTACAGGATAAAGGTTTTCTGTGCAAATTCATAAATTGCTGTAGGAGGGAGGTTTAAATCTATTTGCTGGCACTTGTAAATTAGAAATGTTGCACATATTGTAAGTGCAGCGGTGCAAGAAACCACCACTGATCTCAGGCTGAATTTATTCTATCCAGTTTTTACCTGGAAGGCTTTGATTTCCACTGCAATTAATTAAGCAAACAGGAGCAAGGTTGGTACTTTTTATAAAAACAAAGGCCCTTACATTGAGGCTTTCATGGGTCTTATAAGTAGACAGTTCTCCTAAATCCTGCTTCACAGATCTTTTGATTCTCCCTCAAAAGCTTTATCCTATTCCAATTGGTACTCATCGCCACAGGAGGCTTGCTACTTGCAAATTTCTCTATTGCTGTTTTCATTTCCTCTTTAGTAATAGAGGCAATCAGTTTCTCATTATCCAGAAGATCCAGTTTTGGCATTTTAATTTTAGCCCGAATTTTCATAATCTCTTATCAGCTGCTAACTCTGATGCAAATATCAGTTTGGAGAACAAAAAAAAAAAAAGGAAACTTTTTACATTATTGCCATTTAATGATAAGATACAGAACCTATTGAAATAAAACTATGGTCTTTGATTTTGAATCTTATTAATATATTTATTACTCTTGACATTGGCATACTCATTTTTAAAATTGAATAGGGATTTATTAAGAAAATAACAGTATGTAATAATACTAATCTTTAAGATTCTTTAAATTTCTGCTTTGGAAATAGAACCACATCAGATATTATCAAGATCATGGAGAACAGGTCGGGGCCTACTAGGAAAACTTCAGTGCCCCTCAATGAAGGGGTATAGTGCTGGAAGACCCAACTTGTCTCTAGTAGTTTTGGGTCAACCCTCCTGCCCACCCTAATCATTGGCCTTGTGTATTTTTGAAGAATTAGAAGTTAGAAGAACTACCATTTAGGAGAAGAGAAAAAAAAAAACCAAATAAAAACTAGAGAAAAAATTCAAGGGCTTTATAATTCATATTAGTAGACAAATTTTACAAAAACAAGAAGTGATTTTCTTGTTATAAAATATACAGTGCTTCACAAAGAACATGGGAAACAATCTGTGACTGTCGTCTTTGACATTCATTTGGTATTTAGGGGTCAGGGGTCCAATTTTAAACTTACTTTTTAACTTTAATTTGTATGAACATGTTTGAAATTCCATTTGATGTATTCAATTAAGCTTACTTTTATGTGTGTGTGTGTGTGTGTGTGTGTGTGTGTGTGTGTGCGCGCGCGCGCCTCACTCTGTTGCCCAGGTTAGAAGAGTGCAGTGGCGTAATCAGGGCTCACTGCAGCCTCGAGCTCTTGGGCTCAAGTGATCCTTCTGGCTTATCTTTCTGAGTAGCTGGTCCATAGGCACACATCACCATGCCCAGCTAATTTTAAAAGTTGTTTTGTAGAGACAAGGTCTTGCTGTGTTGCCTAGGGTTGGACTTGAATTCCTGGGCTTAAGTTATCTTCCTGCCTCAGCCTCCTGAAGTGCTAGGATTACAGTTGTGGTGACCACACCTGGTCTACTTATGTTATAATTTCACTGATTTCATTAATTTTATTCCTAAGTGATTCATTTTTCATTTTGTGGACCTGTGTTCCTGATGATACATCCATCTACTTTGGGGCAGCATTTCGCGGACTCTCAGAGCTGTGAGGTTCTTTAACATGCAGTCTATCCAGTGGGACAGCAGCCTATGGTCCTGAGGACTAGGCAGGGGGCACTCTAGTGTCCTTGTTGGAATCTGGGACTCTTTCATTAGTCAGAAGGGCAGCAAGGGGAGACTATAGTTATTAGGAAAAGTAGGCAGTCTTTCATGTCCCCTTCATCTTGAGTTAGGAGGTTACCACTGTGGCACAAGGAAATGTATTTTACATAAAAGGAGAGAAACAACCACCAGTCAAGTTGCCTTCTGTGTGACTAAGGCTCAAAGTGGCAATTCTTTTTAAATTCTGCTGACTCCTGCTGCAGGCCGTCCTGGCTGATCCTCAGCTGAGCCAACAGAGACCTTAATCTGAGAAAGAAGATTCTGATGGAGGTGGGAAGCAGTGGTACATAGCAGGGTAGGGGGTCTCCAGAGGTTGTGGCCTAGAAGGATTATGGTGAGTTGTAGAATGGAAGCACTCAGCATAGGTTAATTAAGTACCCACCATGAGAAAGGTATTGTAAGTGTGGAGGACATTGGTGAATGGCATGTGGTCTTCACACATTAGAGACCCTTTCTTTTGATTCGATTGGACTTATAGGTTTTTGGGACAAATATCTCATAGATAAAGTACAGCTGTCATCATTTTATATCAAGGGAACATACTGTTAGTATAACATAAGTAGTTTTTTTCTTGAGATGGGGTCTTGCTATGCTGCCCATACTGGAGTACAATGGCTATTCATAGGCATGATCATAGTGCCTTGCAGCCTCAAACTCCTGGTCTCAAGCAATCCTCCTGTCTCAGCCTCTTAAGTAGGGGCTATAGGTTCAGGCTGCCATGCCTGGCAATAATTTATAAATGATGTTGACTTTGATTACCTGGTTGAGATAGTGTTTGTCAGGTTTCTCCACTGAAAAGTTATTTTTAAAAAAATCCCTTTTTCATAATGTATTCTTTGGAAGGAAGTCACTATGCGTGGCTCAGAGTTAGGGAGATGGGATTGCCACTCTACCTCCTTGAGGGTGAAATATTTATATAAATCACTTGAAATTTCACATAGATTTGTTTCTTCTCCCTCATTTGTTAATTTACTCAATCATTTATATTAGTATGGACCCAAGGACATTTAATTTGTAATTTGGGTTATGATACAATACTACTTTATCCTGTTGCTGAATTGTTTCTGCTGTGGCCATTGGGAGCTCTTTCAGTTGGCTTCAGTGCCAGCAAGGATCAGTTGTAAGCACACGCTAGGTTGTGGCACCACAGTCTGTGCCAGAGGGAGAGCTGGAAGCCAACAGGAGAGCCTTCGAGAGCTGCATGCCGGAGGCATGGGGAATAGGTAGCAGAGGTTGGTGGGCCCGGAGTTCTTTGTTTAGCAACTCAAAGATCCTATGCATTCTTAAGTAGGATGGTGACATTACGAACAGTGTCTTGGATGATTACTTTGGAAGCTCCATGCATTGTGTAGTTTCACTTGTTCATCGATTTAACAAATTTATAAAAAACCCTATCCTATCACCTGCTGGGGAGTGAGGGTAGAACATGATGGGGAAAGAGAACAAACACTGAGAACCTGGCTGGTACATATACATTCAATTCCAGTTTATTCTCATAGCAACCCAGTGAGTTAGATATTGCTTTCAATATTTTATAGCTAAGAAAACTGCATTTGTTCTGAGGATAGCCAGCTGCCATGTCAGAAGTCTAACTGCTCTGCAACTGCCATCCTGTGAGGTAGCACAAGCCAGCCATATGAGATGTCTGACCAATCCCCAGTTGTTCCTGCATCTTAGCCCCAGCACCAGAAATGTAAATGAAGAAATCTTCTGATGACTCTGGTCCCTGACAGCAAACAACTGTGATTGCATAAGAGGCCCTGAGCAAGAACCACCCAGCTGAGCCCAGTCAACACTCAGAACTACGAGAGATGATAAATTGTTTTATTCTACAGTTTTGGAGTAGTTTGCAGCAATACAAAACTGATAACTAGCAAACACAGGTTTTTTTCCCTCTGCACTGTCTTCCCTGTGGTAGTGTCTGCTGTTCTGACAATGATTCTGGATTGAGGCAAAGAACATGGGAAGCTGTTACATTTATCTATTGAGGATGTCATGCGGGTCTGGCTTGAGCTGGGGAGAACAAGCAGAACTAGGTGCAATCCTAAGAGAACTTGCATTAGAGAAGGATAGAATTTGCATTAGTGCATTGTAGAGAGAACAGATAGTTTGTTATCAGATCATATTGAATTAGCAATTGCTTTCTCCCTTCCTGGCTGTCTAACCTTGGGCATATTCTTTAACTCTGATTCTCAGTTTCCTTACCTTTACAGTTGGGATGATCTGAGGATGACAGTAGATCCAATGAGGCAATAGTAGTAGGCACTCAATACATGTGTTCTCATAGTTTTAAAAACATATCTCTATTATCACACCCGTTACATTGCATCTGAGTTGTTTATTTTCCCAAGTAGACTCTGAGCTTCCTTAAGACAGCTTATATTACATATTTTGTATTCTTGCTGATTAGCACAGTAAACAGAACAGATGTAAATAGCTGCTGAATGAAAGAAGGAATTGATGAATCAGTGAGTAAAGATGAATTGTGAAATGAAAGAGGGATAGAAAAATAACTTGAGGGTAACTAGCCAATTTGGTTAGGGGTTTGAAGGTAGCATTACTTAAAAGGGGGAAAACCAAGGTGGAAAGAATTATAAGAACAATAGAAAGTGATTGGCAGTAATAGATGTAATACTAGGCTGAGAACGAGATCTGGCCAAGCAAAACGTTTCAATGGAATGTTCAGAAGCCCCAGATGAAGATGTTAAGGAAGAAATGGTTGCTGAAGGATTGGAGGCAGCATTGGAGTCCTCAGGGTTGGCTGGAGATGCCTGTATCCACACATAGAGTACATGCTTTATCCTCTGAAGAGTTTATTTAGCAGAAGGTGGACTTATTAGATCGCGTGATACTTAAAGAACACATTTTCTACTCATCCAATAATCAAATATTTATGAATCATCTAATGAATTCCAGGAACTGTGCCCAGCATGGGTAAATTGTGCTGATCCAAATATGTATAATGTTTTTCCCTCATTCAGCATATGTTCAAAAGAGAAGAAAGTCATTGAACAAATTATCAAACAAATAAATATGTAACTATTAATTGAAATACATCTTGTGAAGAGAAAGTATAGAGACTGCTCACTTTTCATCAATTCCATTCTGTCCATCTTTAGTCAGAGAATGCCTGAGTTTCAGCTGGGAACACGACCAAGCATTTAGCATCTTTTGCATCTTGCCCAAGTGACTAAGTTCTGGCCAATGGTAAATAAACAGAATCATTATTATTGCTATTTTTATCACTTCTCGAGTGTGCTTCAAAAAGGAATCATTTATATTCTCTTGGTCCTTCCCTACTTCCTGCTGGCTGGAAGATAATAACTGAAACTGCAGCCTTCTGCAAGATAGAAACCACGAATTGTAGATGGTAGAACTTCCCATATAGTCTTGGACTATGGATTACAATGAGCAGAGGAATGAATTCTATCTTATTTAAATCATTATATCTTTTGATCTATTTATCATTGCTGCTTAGCCCATATCTTAACTAGTAAAACTACAAAAGAGAGTGTATTAGTTTGCTCAGGTTGATATAACAAAATACCATAGATTGGGTGGTTTAAACAACAGAAATGTTTTGTCTCACAATCTGGAGGCTGTAGTCTGAGATCAGGATGCCAACATGGTTGGGTTCTGGTAAGGGCTCTCTTTTCATCTTGTAGACAGCCACCTTCTTTCTGTGTCCTTACATCATGAGTGGGATAAAGAGAAAGTGAGAGAGAGAGAGAGAGAGAGAGAGAGAGAGAGAGAGAGAGAGCGCACAAGCAAGAATAAGAGAGTGCTCAAGTGCTCTGGCCTCTTCTTATAAGGGCACTGATTTCATCATAAGGGCCCCACCCTCATGACCTCATTTAACCCTAATCATCTCCCAAAGCCCCCATCTCCAAACACCATCACATTGGGGGCTAGAGCTTCAACATATGACTATTCAGGGGATACAATTCAGTTCATAGTAGAGGGCAGGGGGAAGATCCAGTTTAAATGGGAATAAAGGGGCAGGAATCTCCAATGAGGAAGTGCTTTGAAGCTGAATGATGAACTATTTGGAAGAAGAGTGCTACAGGTAGAAGGAATAGTGTGTATAAAACCCTTGAAGTGGAAAATAACTTGATATTTTTGAAGAAGTATGAGGGAAAGCAAGGGAGAAAGGACCAAGGGTGGTCCCAAAGGAAATTGGAAGTCGCTGATGGGTTTTAAGTAATAGGGTACTGCAGACTGATTTGTATTTCCAAAAGCTTCATCTCTGCTATGGAGATTGTAGGGAAAAGGAATGGATTAGGGAGTATCCCTCAGCCTCACAGAGGGATGATTGCAAGTAGCCTAGAACTGTTGTTGGGGCTGGAGAGAAGTGATGAATTTGAATGATATTTTGAAAGAACTAACAGGTCCTTTTAATAGATCAGATGTGTGTCAGGGAGAGGCAAGGTGCTTTCAGGATGATCCCCAAGTGGAGGAGGAGGAGGAGGAGGAGGAGGAGGGGGGGGGGAGGGGGAGGAGGAGGAGGGGGAGGGGGAGGAGGAGGAGGAGGAGGAGGGGGAGGAGGAGGAGGAGGAGGAGGAGGAGGAGGAGGAAAGAGGATGGAAAAGATCAGCAGATTAAGACCATGTGTCCAGTTTCTTTTGAAGATGTTATATGGGAAAAGAGCCCCAAATCCAGCATTCAGCACCCACCCTTGTCAGTTATTAGCCATGACCTTGGGAATGTTACAGGTTTACCAACAAAGGAAACAGAATTTTGAGACTAAGAAATATAAAGTCAGCATTTTGAACTTAAAATTCACAGTAGTAATATGCCATGGTAGAAAGCGTGGGCTGTGAAGACAGGTGTCTAGTTATATCACTTCCTTCTTGAGTAACCTTGAGGAGGTCACTTAAATTACCAGAGTCAGTTTTCTCATGTGAAAAAAATTAGTGGGCTTGTGATGTGGATTAAAAATGATAATTTCCGTAAGACAGAAGCAGGCTGTCTGGCATGGTAAGTGCCGATTAAGATATATGCTTAATTACTCCACGGAACTTACATTTAGTGTTCAGTATGTGTAGAAATCAGTTAATTTAATTGTATACTTATGTCCCAAAAGTCAGAAAGGGGGAAGACTGAGAGACAAATAGGCTGATTCGCCTGGCCCTCTTCAGTCATTATGCAGTCCTCTTTCTCCCTGGTCTGGGAGGTGAGTCCCTGAGGGGTACTGGACTTGCACCCTGTAACTCACTGGTCAACACGTTCTGTTTTACAGTTTTCCAGAAGTTAACGACGATCTTCTGGGAAAAGTTATCAAGCACTAATAGCTCTGAATGTAACTTCAACAGATGTCATCATTTTTCAGATTTTTCATTTATAGAAAGTCCATGCAGCTTCCCAGAATTTGGGGGCATTTGCTCAACGTACTGTGAGGAAATGTTCTGAGCCTACAGCAAGAACAGTACTTTCGTAGTTAATAACTAAGTAGTCAACAAGGGCGCCCACTCAAAGGGGAACTCTGGCCAAGGGATTAGGATTCGTACTCGGAAAAATGCCTCAGGTATTTCATGGATATTTGATGAAAGTACGTGGTCATTACCATGATTTTAAATTCCAGTGACCTGGAAATTCTGAAGGATGGTTTTGAAAAGAATTTTTATTCTCTTTCATCTCAGAGTATGTTGGATGGTGCAGAATGCATTCCAATTTCTGTAGAGTTACCTACAGGTGATAGCCTTCTTCTTAGTGTGGCAGAGGGGACGTGGCAGGAACCCCTGAGGTAGCTCGACATCTGGACCTTGATGAGAGAGCCTGGCCCCTTGGAAAAGATGCGTGGTTTAGATGAAATCTTTGGGAAAGCAGCACTGGAGAAGTGATGGGAATTTACCTCCATGGGATGTAATTTGATCCTATTGGGAAAGAAGGATTTGCCTTTTATAGAGTTTTACCTCCACAGGATTATTATAATGAGGTCCTTCAGCTTCTCCTTAGGCATTACTCTTGCACCTGTTGCTTGTGGGGCTTGAGTTTTTAACATGCTGGATACCACTTTATGTCCCATTTCCAGTGCGTGGTTTTAGCAACGCTCAAGAAGAAAGCCTGACGTTCTACAGCCATATGCTTGCATCGTTACTTAAGGAGAAAGATATAAGGAGCAGAAAACTCTTGTTATTTGTTATTTTAATTTTTCAAACAAGAGGAGCAGAATGAATTTCCAGAACTGGGAAGAAAACTATGCTGAAAAGAAAAATCTATTCTTTTATCCTTTTGACTTTTTTTTAAATAAGTAGATCATATGCAGGTTAAAATAATTACAAAACTTGGAATTTATCCAGTTGTGTAGTGAGTAATTACAAAGTTGCTTTGTTTGATGATATGGTATTTTATAGAAGGGCATTTTTAACCTTTGTCACTAGCGCCAAATGGAAGGAGACACAGACCTTTATAATAAGTATCATAATTCTAATTGCATCTCAAGTATATATAGAAGCAATTCATTTTTAAAGACATGTTCCAGTTTGTGTACTTTGTTTTCAGTAGGTAAAAATTGCTGAAGTAACATGGTATATGGTAACAAAAGTAAAATAAGAGCAAATGCTTGTTAATAATCTGTTCCAATATTCATTTTTCCAAAGTCCAGCTCTGGCCAACAGAGACACTGCAATTTCATTACCAACATGCAAGGCAAGACCCTTATGTAATCAAGTGGCTCATTAGAGAAGATCAGAGGATTTCAAAATACACTTTAAAAGTCAGAACTAAAGTATTGTATTTAAAAAGAAGATCAAAGTGGACATCATGTCCAGAGATCCTTTGCATATATTATCCTTCTGTATTATTATCAGAAGTGACTCTCACTGACATTCACTGTAAGTCCATGCACATCCTGATGATAGATTAAACAGTTAAACCGCCACATTTATTCCTTTGACATGATTATTGGGTGACTTATGGGCAAAGTGGTGTGAAACCCAATACTGCACTAGTGTCTGTCTTTCTCGATTCTTTTGTCTTTGAAATGCTGCTGCTGAAATGGCACTGTCAAAAGAGAAGTCATGACACGTTGGATGTTGTCTTGGGGCCAGGGTCATTTAAAATAATTAATAGAAGTGGAAAATACATTAAAATTTCTAAAGGTTTTAAAATGTGAATTTAACTAAATTCAAACATTTTGAGCACCTCATGCCCAGGGCTAGACAAAGCGGGTTGTACAAAAAGGAATAAAACATGGTCCTTGTCCCTGAGAAACATTTAGTTTACTGGGGAGACAAGATATGCAGACTTATGATATTATAGGAACTATGAGACAGTGAGAGACAAGAGGCTACCTGATCACAGAGGAGAGAGGAATTGCTCTGTTCAGAGGCAGCAGAAGGTCTTCATGTAGAGACTGAGTCAGACTCTGAAGTACAGGTTTCAAAGCATATAATGAGGGAAGGGCCTTTTTTGTGGGTACTACCGTGGACAAAGGCTGGAGGTGAGGAAGTGCACTGTGCATTTAAGGAAGCATTTCCGTGTAGCTGTGCTAAATGACACATGAAAGGGATCATTGCATGAATGGCAGAAAAGGAAAAGGATGAAGTGGAAAGTTTCAGTGATCTGAGAGTGATGATCTGAGTTTATAGTCTGATACGGTTTGGCTGTGTCCTCACCCAAATCTCTGTTCTCATGACAGCTAGTGAGTTCTCATGAGATCTGATGGTTTTATAAGGGGTTCTTTCCCCTTTGCTTCTCACTCTTCTCTCTCCTGTTGCCATGTGAAGAAGGTCCTTCACCTTCTGCCATGATTGTAAGTTTCCTGAGGCATCCCACAGCCATGTGGAACTGTGAGTGAATTAAACCTCTTTCCTCTATAAGTTATCCAGTCTTACAGTATTTTTATAGTAGTGTGAGAATGGACTAATATAGAATCCTTCTACTTATTAACTGTATGCATTTGGGTGTCATTTACCTTTTGGAACCTTAGTTTTCTCATGTCTAAAAGAATGTCGTTAATTTCTGGCTGGATGGTTAGAATAAGCTAGATTACACTGCAGTAACAAACCCTGAAATCTCAGGGACTTAAAAGAATAAAAATGGAATATTTTCTAAAATCAGGGTTTAATTTGGTTTCTAGGGGTGGGAGCTCTGCTGCAGCGTGAGTTTTGAGCACTTCATCTTGAGATGCCTTTATCTCTACACAGGTCTCCATATTCATCACCAGAGGGGAACAAAGAGGGAAAGAGTGTGGGTGATCTTTTACGGAGCAGGTGTGGAAATACGGTAAATCTGTCCATGTTCCACAGACCAGAACCAGTGTCACGGTTCCACCTAGATGTCAGGGGCTTAGAAATAGAGTCTTTGGTGTGCCCAGGAGGAAAATGAAGTGTGTTGGGATGCACGTGACAGTGTTCTGTGAGTCTCTAGTATTACTGTGAAAATAATTCAGGGCACAGTGTCTGAAATAGTATGTATGAAAGGACTCGGGCAAGGCAAGTCACTCCTGTCATGTTAGTTTCTTAAGACTGGATATAGATAGGGGCCAGCATATCAGGGGGCTTCAATTGTTGTCCACTAGAGAATTCGTAATTTACTTCCTGGGTTGTGGGTTTAAAAACTTTTGAAGAGGGGACTTGCTTGAATATAATTGTGCTTGAGGAAGATTAGACAACTGCCTATAGGGCTGGAGGGTCATGAGGAAAAATTTTGACAATGGTCTTTTGTGGTTGCTAAGGAAATATGGAGCATGGGTGAGCGCCAAAGCCGAGGTTCTGGAAAGGCAGGTAGGGAAGCAGGAGCATGGCAGTAGACTGAGATATTTTATTTGTCTTTATATCCACGGTATCTTCCACAGAAGCAGTACCTTCATGCACGGTAATAAATGTTGCTGAATGAATCAATAACAACTTAGTGAATGGATGAGGAAATGAATTCTGTTTTGCAGA